ACCCACGTGTGTGATGCGGCCTCCTGGGGATCTGAGCCAGTCTGCAGCAAGGCAAACCAGGATGCTTGCTATTAGCTGGTTTGAGATAGGTGTTTAAATCGCGATTCTCTAATCTCCAGCAAAATAGCCATTTAAGAGCAAAAGCACATTTTAGCAATGAAATAGTAACACTTTTTAAAGAGTAAGCTCACTAAGAAATACTTTTTACTTCATGGTGTATCAGCATTTGAAGATGACGAAATGCCCTCCGATAGGTTTTCCATTTTATCCTGACTATATTCCGTGTTTTTTTCAGATCTTAAATTCAGAGTCCGCAGACAAAGACTACTGAAAGTTTCACGGGTGGCGCTGCGACTTACGCTCTCCGGAAGCCGGGGAGTAGGGAAGCGCGTCCTGTGGTCCCCAGCGCCCGGCGCTCCAGTTCACCTGGCTCAGATCATTCAGGTTCCAGCTGAGGGTGGTCTGTTGGTGCTTCTGAGCAGCAATACTGGCGACTTCTCCCTCACCTGTCTGGCTATCTTTTTGGCAGCCTTTTAAAAGTATCCAAAATTATAAGACTGATAATGATTGAGAAACAAATATTTTATGCAATAAAAACTGAGACTATGAATTAAATGCTTCTTACTGTTTCCCAAATGGATGATCTGTAATACCAAACTGGCCATAAACAGAAGCCTAGAATATTTAAAGAAAATCATTTAAGTTTGAAACATTAAAAAAATGTATAAGCAGAAATTCACATATATGAAAATACGTAATGCAATCCTTATCTATAAAGATATGATTATATAAAATAGTTATAAAGATTTTGAGACAGAAAGCAGATGCTTCCTTTAATGTGAGGGACAGTCATGGGTGCATTGCAATTTATCCTGAGGCTTTTAAGCCCTCTTCTTGGCTCCACAATATAGATGACCTCTCTCCTTACCTGATGTGGTACCTTTGGGTCATTTTCCTCTGGCAAGTCCAGTTAGTAGAGAGTCTCCTTTCTCATCAATACACAGAAGATGAATTTCCAAGGAAGTCGAGTCTGAAAAGTTTTTGCATTTGAAGGTGTCTTTACTCCAGCCCCCAGGGTATCTGCATCGGGACACAGAGTGGATAAGCACAGAACACTCAGTGGGTTCCTTCTCTGCCTAGGCCAGGGGAAACAGTGTGAGATCAGTTCTGCAGCCCCTGAGGGGAGGACCTGCAGTGCTCAGTGGGGCCCATAGGGAAGGACTATCCCCTCGGTGGGGGTGGAGACTTGGCTGACCCTCTCTGGGGCAGTATTTACAGTGCTGACAGCAGCAGGGGTGGCCGAAACCTGATGTTTAAAAAAAAAAGCATTGGTGTCCAAGGCAACAAGACTTTTCCTTACAAAAAACAAATTAAAACCCAAAGTGAACAAAAACCTTTCATAGGAAAATAGAGATGTTATACTGCATATTCCTTATACGGGGAGAAGGCCGGGGCCCCAGCTGTGTAAGGTACAAGCAGCAGCCGTGAGCAGGATAAAAAATGACATTTCTACCCTGGCTTTCAAAGAGACATCCTCACTTTCATAGATCCAGTGTCTTCTCTGTGTCCAGCACACTGGCCTCTTGTGGCTATGTAACACAGTACCCATTGGGGCTGACACTAACCAAGGCTTTGAGAATTTAAGTCCCTTGGCCATTAGATTTCTATAAGACACGAAATGCACAGATATTATGAGGAGATACTCACAGGGTGGGTACCTGGAGCCCGTGGAGCTGGAGCAGAAAGGCAGCATGCCACTGTCCCAGGAGCCTGCACGAACCCCAGGGAGGGAGTGACTTGGGGCCTCTTTTGCACCTACTAAGTTTGTTCTTTTCCTTGCCAAAATAGGGACTGGGGCCCTTTTATCAGCTCTAAAGGGGACACCGTGCAACTCTTTTGCAAATTATTCTGTGATTTTAACATAAAAACTCATTCCTGAAAATAGAAATCTTCCTCCAAGGTTGAAATCGTCTTTGATACCAATTTAATTTCTTACACCTTTACATGAGAGGTTTCTTAAAGCAGCTACTAGGGAATATAATATATTAAATAAACTCCTAGGGAATTGGTGGCTCCCAGGACAAGGCTGGGCAACCTGGGCCCATGAGGCCACCTCAAGCCTTCATCAACATCTGTTAAGAGGAGCCAGTTTAACCACTCATAAAGTAGATGGTTGTTACTGGTTAATTGAATAATTTAATGATAAATAAAAGTTAAGTATATTTTATGACTTACCATCAGTACAAACTTCCATAGGCCCTAAATGGGTTGTGTACTAAAATAAAACCATATATATAAGTAAAAGGATTGTATTTCTTTGTATAAATAAATTTTGAAACTGCTCGTTTTACAGAATGATACTGAAACCAAATCCTTCTGATAATATTAAAGTCATAAAAGTGGTCTATAAAATCTGATTTCCCCACCCAGTTTATTTTATTAAATTTTGCCTAAAGTACATTCTTAAACATATGTAAAATCTGGGAGAATTGACCCCACAAACTTAGGTTCAATGATTATCAATTTTTGCCAGTTTTCCCTTGTTTATTTCCTCTCCTTTTACAAGAAAGTCCCAGATGTCATGACATTGCATATGTTGAATAAAATTTCAAAAATCTGCACTTTGTAAGTGGAAACTGGTAGAAAAAGTAAAAAAAAAAAAAAAAAAAAAGTTTTACCAGCAAGACAAGATTGAGAGACAAGAAACAGCAGTGGGATGTCCTGTCTCTGCTGTTTGCTTAAGCTCTAAATCGACTCTGCGGAGGGAGGGCTGATGGCCAATGATAGAGCTGCTGACAGCCTTTTCTCACCAGATGGTCACTTGCTCTCCACACAGGCTTTGTGGTCCCAGGTTGTCTCATTGACTCAAAGGTCTTATAAAAAGCATTTTGCATTTCACTGCAGAGAAACTGCTGTGTTTGCCACTCTGGAGACCCAGCTGGGGTGGGGGGTGGGGGAAGCCCCAGGGAGGTCCTCTTTTCTCCTTATCAGCTGTAAACAGATAAGGCTGCAGATGCCCACCAATCAGACCTCAGTGGAGCCTGCTGCCTCAAAAAACGTGTGGAAACTGGCCACCCTGTGTGGGGCCTGGAGACTGCCCTCTAGGTGTGAAGGAATTCTCCCAGGTGACTTTGAAGCTCTGTTTGTCCACATGGGCTGCTCCCTGGGATCCGTGGGGAGTGAGAAAGGGCTCCCTCCACCCTCCTGCCGCCCTTGGCCGGCTCCTTTCTGTCTCTGTGAATTTTCCTAATCTAGGTATTTCCTGTGTGGGATCGCACACTACTGTCCTTTGTGTCTGGCTCATTTCACTCCCATAATTTTTCAGGCTCGCCCATGTTGTAGCGTGTGTGAGAACCTCACCGGTTCTCGTGAAGGACCAGCATTTCATGGAGTGGGTACCCCACGCTTTGTTCATCCATCATCATTGGTGCTGTGCTCAGGTGGTTCCCCTTTCCATGGAGCACCGCTGTCCACTGGCTAATGAGGGAGGCCTCACTTCAGCTTCCAGAACTATGACAGAATAAATTTCTGTTGTTTTATCTGGTGCCAGTCTCTGTGTGGTATTTTGTCCCGGCAGCTGTAGCAGACTAATACACCAGGTTTGGGGTTTTCTCATTATTGTACATCTTGTTTAGTAATTTTTTCCAACTATCAAGTGCATTTATACTAGTACTTTTCCAGAAATACAAAAAGCAACTTTTACTTGGGGTCCTTGTGTGGAAAGGGGCACCTCTGCTCAGAGTCCTCTCCAGCAGCAGGGCAGCAGCGTTAGCCTTCAAATCCAGTGGTGACGCCAGACTCTGTGGCCCTTTCCAGTCTTTCTAAAAGCCCAGCAAAGTCTGAGATGCTCTCAGAGACATAGCAAAGACCACGGGACATCATGTCCACCAGCAGCCTACAACCAAACCCCATCTTCCAGGCGCATTCGCAGCCCGACTGAGGACCTTTACTAATTATATGAACTTACTATTTAGTACAATTATCAGGTTTTTAGTTTCTAAATAATACAAAAACCTGCTGGGACAGGTTTATTTGAAGAAAATATGGTCATAAAAAAATGAAAAGCCGAATTTCCCTGTAATAAAAATAGCAGCTAAAACATTTGCTTTTTCCAAAACTGTGGAGGAGGCAGGGGAGGGGGGCTGAAGAGCAGGGGGCAGGCCTGGGGGCAGGAGGTTCCTTGGAGTGCCAGCTATGAATGGGGTGCAGGATCTGGGTGGGAATGATGGCGGCAGGACTGCTGTCCTCTGCTAGCTACAGCTGAGCATGTCACTTGGGGACACAGTCAGAAAACAGATAGTGACATAGCAGTGTCTGAGTACTCTGACCAGGGAAAGTGTGGGACCTCACCTGGAGAGATAGATAGAGGGGCGGGGGGAGGAAGTGTGAAAGGAGAGGTGAGTGGACTAGAGAGCTCTTTCCCTGCGTCTCTCCCTCCTCTCCACTCCCCCCTCCTACTGTCCTAACTCTCTTTCCTCTTCCCCTTCCCCCACCTTGCCACACCAGAACTCTGATTACTCATGACTAACTTCAGATTTAGGACATACTAGTCAAGCCTTATTTGACAGTCCCCAGAGCCCAGGCACACTCCACGTCCAACCCCTGTGCACCCTCCACCTCTAGCCACATGGTGTCTCTCCAGGCCTGACACCTGTGGCTTCCTATAGGGCAGTGGGTCCAGGGAGAGAGAGTAGAACCTGCTTTCCCTTAGAAGTGAGTCCAGGCCTACGCTCAGGGCAGTCTCACAGTGGAGCCCAGTTAGGGTTCCAGAGGGGCCCTGCCAGAGATGGCCACAAACTCGGACTGGATTGTCCTTTTCCCACATTTGCTTAATTCTCTTTGGAACGATTCTGAGCAGCGAGGCCATTAAGAGGTGACTGGGTCACGAGGGCCAATGATTCACTTCATTCATTACCGCGGGAGTGGATGAGTTAGCAGGGGAGTAAGTGCTGTCTTTCTCTCACGCTCTGGTTCCATGTGATGCCTTCTGCCCTGCGATGATCCTAGCCAGAAGCCACCACCGTGGTCTTGGACACTTTAGCATCCTGAACTGAGAGCCAAATAAGCTGTTTGTGTTAAATTACACAGTCTGTGGGATTCTATAATAGCAGCATAAAATGGCACAAGACAGGTATGGATGCTTAATTTTTCCCTGTTGAATCAATTGATGACCCAAAGGGCCCAAGTTGAAATGAAAGTGCTGTGGGGAAGTTTGGGGCACGTTCTGTCCATTTGCCAGGACATGGATTTGTTTTACTGCAGGCAGTGAGTCTGTCCCCCTGGCAGTGTAGGAAGGCCAGACACAGCCCATCACTTCGCCTTGCATTTACATCTCTTCTAGATCATGAACGTTTCTACACTTACTGGTTTTGAAACTCCAGTTTGTCCTTAGATTGGTTGCATATTCTGCACTCCTATTCTTATTCTTCCTAGACGTAATGTTTTCTAAATTTTCATGAAACCTTAGGACCCTAAATTAAAAATTTATAATCATCACACTTGGGGAAAAAATTCCCTTCTTATGCTCCCCGTTCACATGTGAGGTTATATGGAGTTGTGTTTGCCTTTTTTCCTGGAAAGACAAGTTAGATGTCTGGAGAGTTTCGTGCCTGAAAAAGCTTCTGAGGACGCATTAAGAACTGAAGGCTCCCAGGATGGAGTGGAGTCATGAGCATAATTCTAGGATGGCTTCATCATTAGCAGAAAGGAGACAAAATATGCTTCATGGCCATTTCCTTCCAGTTTTGGCCCCTTCCCTCCCCTACTCCCCCAGTCTCCCCTGAACGTTTTCTTACATCAACTATTTTTACATTTTCTCCAAGTCTTCACTGTCATGATGAATGCGGTTCTGCAAAGAGACCAATGACACTGTTTCCTTTTAAGCAATTGAGTTCTGTGGGTCTAAGATGAAGAGATATTTTTAGTTCTAATGCGGAATTGAGAATGCCACG